GGAGCCTGCTTCCCTCTCTCTCTGCCTGCTTCTCTGTCTACTTGTGATCTCTCTCTGTCAAATAAGTAAATAAAATCTTAAAAAAAAAAAAAAAAGCAACCTACAGAATGGGAGAAGATATCTGCAAACGACATATCAGATAAAGGGCTAGTCTCCAAAATCTATAAAGAACTTAGCAAACTCAACACCCCAAAAATTAAAAATCCAGTTAAGAAATGGGCAGAAAAACATAAAAAAAATGTTTTTTAAGAAATGGGCAGAAAAACATGAAAAAAAAAACATGAAAAACATGACATTTCTCCAAAGAAGACATACAAATGGCTGACACATGAAAAATGCTCAATATCACTCGGCATTAGGGAAATACAAATCAAAACCACAATGAGGTACCACCTCACACCAGTCAGAATGGCTAAAATTAACAAGTCAGGAAACAACAGATGTTAGTAAGGATGTGGAGAAAGGGGAGTCCTCTTAACACTGTTGGTGGAAATGCAAGCTGGTGCATCCACTCTGGAAGACAGTATGGAGGTTCCTCAAAAAGTTAAAAATAGAGCTACCCTATGACCCAGCAATTGTACTACTAGTTATGTTATTTGTCCAAAAGATACAAAAATAGTGATTCAAAGGGGCACATGCACCCCAATGTTTATAGCAACACTGTCCACAATAGCCAAATTATGGAAAGAGCCCAAATGTCCATCAACAGATGAATGGATAAAAATGTTCATATACAATAGAATATCACTCAGCCATCAAAAAGAATGAAATCTTGCCGTTTCCAATGACATGGATGGCGCTAAAGTGTATTATGCTAAGCGAAATAAGTCAGAGAAAGACAAATACCATATGATTCATGCATATGTGGTATGTAAGAAGCAAAACAGATGAACATAGGAGAGGGGAAGGAAAAATAAGACAAAAAAAACGAGAAGGAGGCAAACCATAACAGATTCTTAACTATAGGGTTAACACTGAGGGTTGCTGGAGGGGAGATGGGGGGTAGAGTAAATGGGTGATGGGCACTAAGGAGGGCACTTGTAATAAGAAGTGTTATATGCAAATGGCAAATCACTAAATTCTACCCCTGAAACAAATACTGTACTATGTTAACTAACCTAAACTTAAATAAAATCTTAAAAGAAAAAAATTTGAATATAGACTATAAAATATGTAATAGTACATTTTAAATATTATTTTTAAATTATGTTTTAAGATATTGGTATTAAATTTTGTGCTGTATTAAATAATATATTACTTTTTTAATCCAAATAATTATAATAAAATTATAATTTAATAAAAATGATTGTTTTAATACAAATAATTCTAGAAAGTGAAAACAAACCTACAGTGACAGAAAACAGATCAGGGATTATCTGGGAAAGTAGGGCAGGGAGAGAAGAGAGGAAGAAGATTACAAGGATGTCTAAGGAAACTTTTGGGGAGGATACATGTTCATTGTCTTGATGGTGGTTACAAATTCCTAACTGTATATACACGTCAAAAGTTACTGTACAGTTTAAATGTGGGCATTTCATTGTGTATCTATTACATCTCAATAAAGCTATTAAAAGTTCTTCATATCTTCAGAATTCAGTTTTTTTTTTTAAAGATTTTATTTATTTTTTTGACAGAGAGATCACACAGAATTCAATTTTTAAGTATGATCTTAGGTTTTTCTTGAAAATTCTTTATCAAGTTCAGGAAGTTCCCTCCTATTCCTAGTTTCCTGTTTTTTGGTTTTTTGTTTTGTTTTGTTTTTTTCCAGAAATGGATATTGTACATTTTCAAATGGCTTTTCTCTGATTATTAAGATGACCACATGATTTTCATTTTTTAGCCTTTTAATACAGTGAATTATAATGACTTTAAATGTTAAATTAATCTGGCATTTCTGGGGTAAACCCCACTTATTCATGATGTAATATCCTTTTTATAAGTTGATGGATTCAATTTACTAAAATTTTGCCTTGAACTTCTGCATTTATATTGATCAAGGGTATTGGTCTGAAATTGTTTTCCTACAACGTCTTTGCCTAGTTTTGTTATCAGGATAATCCTTACCCAGTAGAATAAGTTTTGAAGTATCTTTTCCTCTCCAATGTGCTAGAGGAGTTTGTGTAGAATTATTTTTTTTTTCTTTAAATGTTTGGCATATTTCAGCAGTCAGGCCAGGTCCTGGAAACCCTCTCAAGGCAAGAAGCTGGGGCAATGGCAGAGGCCTTCACATTTGTTTTCTGTCCCTCAGAGATCACGCCTTTTGTTGCCTAATGTCCAATCTCTTAAAAACCATTGTTTCATAAGTCTGTCAGTTTCTTCTCCTTGTTTCTGGTGGAAGAGTAGATCTGGTCTCTGTTATTCCATCTCGTTTCAAACTGAATATTAGAGATTTGAAGTTAAAAGTGAATTTTAGATATAAGTTTTTACAATGAACTAGACTTTTTTTAAATTGACTACTCTTTAGACCTGTTTTAGGTTCAAAAAAATATATACTAGACATTTAATGATAAAAAATTTACAAAATTACTGTATCGCCTTAAAACACTGTCAAGGGAAGGCAAAGAAAAATTTAATCATGGTAATTTGGAAGCAATAATTTGGAGGAAAAAATGGTTTCATGTTTATAATTCATTAAACTCTTCACTGCTCCAAACTCCTCTCTACATCCAGCCTTACCCCCATTACTCATTATCTGCCCCGCAGACGGTGATCTTTTCAAAAGGTAAATTAGATCATATCTGATTCAAAACCTCTACTGGCTTCTCATTACACTTAGAATAAATTCAAACTCATTATCTCACCTGATTTCCCATAACTCTCTCTTTCACTTATCATTCTCCAGCTACTTACTCAGGGCCTTTGGACTTTTTAGTCCCTCTGCATGAAACGCTTTTCAAATCTTTGCGTGGCTGGTCCCTCATCATCATTCAAGTCTCAAGTTAAGGATCATTGCCTCAGAGAGAATTTCCCTGGTTGCAAACCATCCTAACCCACCAGCAATCACTGTCGTATTACCCTATTTTATTTTCTTCATAGTATTTACCATACTTTGAATTTCTTATTTAGTTTATTTAGTATCTGTCTCCTCATTAGAATAAAAGCTTCTGAAAATGGCATTGTCCTGTTGCTCACTTCTGTTTCCAAGATCAGAGCACAAAAACACCTAAAATATATTGATTGAATAAAGGATGAATGGAGAACATTTTCCTAAGGAGTTGAAAACTCTCTAATTTTAACTGTATGCAGCAATATTAGTCTCTTTTTTGAACAGGCTTTATGGTGTCAATGCTGCTTTTTTTAAGTGTTGTTCCCAGATATGCATACAGTAGTCCAAGTGTTATCTGATCAAGTATAAAACAGCAGAACAGTAATATATTTCAATAAATGCCACTTAAGATAAGAGTATCACACTTTTGGCAGCTATGTCACACTATTGCCTTTTAACAACTTTATAGTCAACTAAATCCCCCTTTTAAAATATAAGTGCTTCTAGGGTGCCCGGGTGGCTCAGTGGGTTAAAGCCTCTGCCTTCAGCTCAGGTCTTGATCCCAGGGTCCTGGGAGCCCCACATCAGGCTCTCTGCTCAGCAGGGAGCCTGCTTCCTCCTCTCTCCCTGCCTGCCTCTCTGCCTACTTGTGATCTCTGTCTGTCAAATAAATAAAATCTTAACAACAACAAAAAAGCCTCTGCTTAGGATCCTGGGATTGAGGTCCGCATCAGGCTCTCTGCTAGGCGGGGAGCCTGCTTCCCCCCAACCCCGGCCTGCCTCTCTGCCTACTTGTGATCTCTGTCTGTAAAATAAATTTAAAAAGATAAATAAGTGCTTCTATAAACATTTAATATTCAAACAGTTGGGATTTGGGCATGAGATTTAGCATTGGTCCTTAAGTTTTATCTTATTAAATTCAGACCAACATAATTTACTAGATTCTTTTTAAGCCCAGATTCTGAAACCCAGCTCATTGGTTACTTCTCTCAGCTTCACAGCATCTACAGACTTGATACCCATGCCAACAGGGTCCTTATTTAAGTTGTTTAGAGAAATGTTCAGTGGGCTAGTGCTGAAAACAGACTTCTTCGGCACGCATTGGAAGTCTCGCCTCTAAGCTAACACTGATCCATTCATAAGCACATTTGGGGCATAGCCCTTCATTTTCGGTTAATTCATACAATACCATGCTATGACACAGACTATAATTCTCCATGTCATCCATAAGGATTGTATGAATACTTATCTTAAGTAATTAGTCTCTCCTTAGCCTCTTTAATATCATGTGATTTCTCCCCTTGAAAGTCTTTCATAATATAAAAAGACCTTGATTTCCTGGAATCTTGCCACTTAAACACTTAAAGGGATGATGATATTTTTTAATAGCCTTCTTGGCTTTAAATCGAAGATGTAGCTGGACTCCCTTTATTTTCCTTTTAGTGGATTAAATTCTGCATTCGGTTTAACAAATCATTGTTCCCATTTGTCCTTGAACTTGACATATTAAAAACAAGTTTTGGTAATGAATAGTATTGTCCAAATTATCTCCAAAAACACACCATCTCAAATACATCACAGGGTCATCAGCAACATGGCCTTTATACCTTATCTATATGTACCATATCTCTACCTTCTAGACCTTTGAGACACTACAGAATACAAAAGTAACTTTTGAATCATCCCAGAAAAATAAACTGAGAGAAGATCCTATTAGAACGGAGGAAGGGACTTCAGCCAAGACAAGCTGAAAAAATGATATCCAAGAGAAATGAAGCAAGATAAAACATTCAAAAATGGAAAATTCTTTATGTGTCTATATATACCCGATATAATGAATATATAATTGCAACCGGTTTAATTTTAAACATCCTGAAAGTCCCCAAACATCCTATAGTCACTCAGACTTCCACAAATCTGTTGTATATGAAGCTATTCACAAGGATTAAAGAGGGAGTTTTCTAAAGTGAGCTAAAGCCTTTTATCTGACTGGCAATCTATTCTTGCCCACAGGATGATCCTGGCTGGATTGCTCCTGTAGAGCCTTCTCCTCCCAATTCCACAAGAGCAGATGGAACTTAACAGGAACCATAATCAGCTCTTTTCCATGGTGCCTTGGAGGCCGTAAGCTGCTTTAGGGTGAAACTAAACATCCCTTTCCCAGCCACTGGCAGCCAGAAACTTACTGAAGTGGGGGATGGACGCAATTTTGTACCCTTTAGGAGGAGATACGGCCACAGAAGTTGCTGCTAACAGTCTGAGCGAGGAATCAAAGGATTCAATGCCATGAAGCAGGGTGTCCCGACCCATGGCTGTGTCTATCAGCAGCTGAGTAAGCATTCCTGTCACAAACCAAGGAGGACTAGAGAAAGAAAGGGCAAATCTGTTTGGGGTTGCATTGTGGATGCCAATCTCAGTGCTCTCAACTTCATCATCGCAAAAAAGGGTGAGAAGCATATTTCTAGACTCACCGATATGACTGTGCCTCATTGTCTGGAGCCTAAAATAGCTAGCAGAACCCACAAAATTTTCAATCTCTAAAAAAGATGTCCACAGTACGTTGTAATAAAGCCCCTAAACAAAGAAGATGAGACACCTAGAACCAAAGCGCCCAAAATTCAGGGTCTTGTTACTACACATGTCCCCCAACACAAACATCAACATATTGCTTTGAAGAAAGAGCGTACTAAGAAAATGAAGGAAGAGACCGCAGAATATGCTAAACTTTTGGCCCAGCGCATGATGGAGGCCAAAGAAAAACGCCAGGAACAGATTTCCAAGAGACAGAGACTGACTGTTTTCTTGAGGTTCTGGCAGAGAATCTACTTCTAAACTCATTCATGTTTTTGGCAGAATTCGGTCCCTTAAGCTTTAGAGGTGACGTCCCCATTCCTTTTCGGCTGGCAGGTGGAGGCTGTTCTCAGCTTCTAGATGACGACAGCATTCCCTGGCTAGGGGCCTCCTTGATCTTTAAAGGTAGCAATAGTGACTCAAGTCCTGCTCTGATCTCTGCTTTTGCCTCATCTCCTCTGCTTCCATCTAGGGAAAGTTCTCTGCTTTCAGGCCCTCATGTGATTACCTTGGCCCATCCAGGTAATTGAGGGTAAACTCCCCCATTTTAAGGCCCACACCCTTAGCCACATCTGCAAAATCTCTTTTCCTATGTAACAGTTTTACATATTCACAGGATCTAGGGATTAGGGCACTTAACTTGGTGCGGGGAGGGGGTTGCAGGGGACATTATTCTGCCTACAATAGAATCACACAAACACTGCTCCAAAAAGAAAGGAAACAGCAAATAAAAGGCCCAAGATGGGAGAGAATTCGGACAGTTCAGGTAGCAGGGAGGAAGGCCCCAGAACTGTAGCAGAGTAAAGGAGAGAACTATAGTAATGACACCATGAGCTTCTTTATGGGAGTCATATTTTTCCCATTTGAGTATAAATTTAGAATGTATTTTGAATTTTAGAATTAAGTCATTAAATGTGGAGCATAGGCCTCCTAACTTCTAGTCCAATTCACCTTACAGAGCTACAAGTCATTAATATTAGTTGTTTCATATATACATGGAGAAATTTCTTCTATTTGACATTTTTTAACCCTAAACATTTTTGCTTATTGCATACAGAATTTCTTAATATTGATCTGTATCTAATCGTGTATATGTAAAATTTACATTTAGATATCAGGAGACAAAAACTAAGTTGAAAAAGAATATGAAACATGAGAAAGAAACTTCATCCCAAATTCCTTTTAAAAATTAAAAAATTAAGACAAAAACTGAACTCTCTTTTTTCCAATGCCTTTCCACAGAGACTTCTAGGGTAATCTTCTGTGGTTAAATGTTTATAAGGAGAATTGCACCTGTGCTGTGGTCTGTTTTTAAATAAACTTGCACCTGCAGTGGCTTTTCATAGAACTGCTATTTGGGATATTACATGTCCGTCGTTTGACTATTATGCAGAGCTGTTCTTCTTACCACACTACTTTCTGGACAGGTCCTAGTTTATAAATAACCTATTTCCAAAAATCCATTTAAAAAAAAGCTAACAGTTGAGATTTCACGGTTATTTTTTCAGAGACACAATAATAAACAAGATTTCCAGGAAACTCCTCAAACAATAACATGCTCCTTTTAATTCATGAATTCCAGTGGTCTGGTCCCTTGATGCTTTAAGGAAATTCTAATCTATTTTCAGAGGAGGCCTCTGCTCTATTCAAATATGTCTGCTTTCCTTTTCCTATATATGATTTGCTAATTCCTGTTTCAGAATCTTTTTTACTCTGTCATTTTCCTCACCGTAAATTTCTTCTTCCTTTCTGCAAGTTCTTTTCAAAAGTCCTAAATTCATTTAAAATTAATTCTGATAAGTCTTCCCCACATAATGTCATCTCATTCTGTTCACTCTATTACTCTCTGTACTCGGCTGCCCATCTGATCTCTCTTTATATCATTTTACATGAGTTAACATATTACATTCTTATTACTTCTCTTCATATGTGTACAATTTATCTCATATACGAAATTAACGCTTTCTAAATGCAGAAGGGGGGTTAATAAAGAGAAGTAGCAATTGGTACCAAAGAACAGGATATGAGGAAATACCAAAAAAGAATTATAAAGAATCAGATAGAAAAATGGAGGAAAAAATAAAAAATTTTTTGCTCTAACTCTTCTATTCAGAGTTTTTACATCATGTACAAGTACTATACTTATTCTGTTTTTCCTAATAATAAGAAAGCACAAATTCACGATGGAGAATCCTGAGTCAACTATTTTTAAAATACCTAATGCATTTTTTCAAGACAATTGTAATAATTCTTTGTATCTCTCGGAGTTTCAAATGAGCTGTTTTGGCCCAAAAGGTATGCAATAATTGATTATCTCCCAACCAATTTTGCAATATTATAGTTAAAAATGTATCTTAATTTTAATAATTTATATAATACCTAAAACAACATAATACTTTACACTGTAAAGATATGTGTTAAGAGACATGCTATTCTATCTACCATCTTCCTACTGAACAAAGCAAAGGCTCTAGAATCAGATTGCCTGGGTTCAAATGGCACTTAGGTAAGTTATTTAACCTCCATTTTCTTCAGTTTAATCTATAAAATGAGCATAACTATAGTACATACTAGATGGGATTGATGAGAATTAACAGTTGTAAAACACCTAGAACATGCCGGCAACATATAAACACTCAATTATTTTAGTCACTTTTATTCCTTTTTTTTTTTTTTAAGATTTTATTTATTTTTCAGAGAGAGAGAGAGAGAGAGAGCGCACAAGCAGGCAGAGTGGCAGGCAGAGACGGAGAGAGAAGCAGGCTCCCTGCCGAGCAAGGAGCCCCATAAGGGGCTCGATCCCAGGACCCTGGAATCATGACTTGAGCCGAAGGCAGTGGCTTAACCCACTGAGCCACCCAGGCATCCCGCCACTATTATTCTTTTATGTTGAGAAAAGATAGCATCTTCTTTCAGAATTACATAAATGCTAAGGTATAATGTTGGCAGAATAGTGGCCCATCTAAGATATGTCCATGTCCTAATTTTCAGAACCTGTGAATATGTTACATGGCGAGGAGGAACACAGGTTGCAGGTGGAAGTTTGCTTGCTAATCAGGTAACCTTCAGCTGGGGACATTATGCTAGATCATCTATGTGGGTCCAATGTCATCACAAAGAAAAGAGGGAGGTAGGAGAGTCAGTGAAAAAGTGAATGAGAGGCTTGAAGATCCTGTGCTGCTGGCTAGGAGAATGCAGGAAGCATCTAGAAGCTGGGAAAAGCAAGGAAAGGTTTCCTCCCCCAAGAGTCTCCAGAGGGAACACAGGCCTGCTCACACCTTGATTTTAGCCCAAAGAGACCATGTCAGACTTCTAAACTCCAGAACTATTAGGATAATAAATGTGTATTGTTATAAGCCACTAAGTTTGTGGTAATCTGTTATAGCACCAATCAGAAATTAGGTGTCATTTCAGCTCACAATATCCTAGTATAATTGGGGCAACAATGTGTTTTTATTTTTTTTAAATTTCTCTTTAGGGGCGCCTGGGTGGCTCAGTGGGTTAAAGCCTCTGCCTTCGGCTCAGGTCATGATCCCAGGGTCCTGGGATCGAGCCCCGCATCGGACTCTCTGCTCCGCGGGGAGTCTGCTTCCTCCTCTCTCTCTGCCTGCCTCTCTGCCTACTTGTGATCTCTGTCAAATAAATAAATATTTAAAAAAAAAAACTTCTCTTTAGCCACACCTGGCTGGCCCCGTCAGTGAAGCATGAAACTTTTGATCTTGAGCTCCATGTTGGGTGGAGAGATAACTTAAAAATAAAAATACTTTTTAAAATATTTCTCTTTAAGGGGCACCTGGTTGGCTCAGTTATTAAGCATCTGCTTTTGGCTCAGGTCATGATCCCCAGGGTCCTGAGATCAAGCTCCACATCGGGCTTCCTGCTCAGCGGGAAGCCTGCTTCTCCCTCTCCCACTCCCCCTGCTTGTGTTCCCTATCTCTTGCCGTGTCTCTCTCTGCCAAATAAATAAAAAAAAAAAAAAAACCTTTAAAAATTCTCTTTAAGGCACTGAAATAATAAGGCACTGAAATTGCCATTATAGCAAATATGTGTAAGGTGGTCTACAAGGTTAATGCCTTACCTAGCTGTAGGTACGCCTAACTCTTACCTAGCCCTTAATTCAAATAGTCATTCATTCATTTGTTCTTTCTTTCTACAAATATCTGTTGACATCTACTCAACATAGCAGGGATACAAGTGAACAAGAAAAGCCTGAACTTTGATCAGATGGGTTGACAGTCTATTGGGTAATGATAATATATATTCACAGGATGACAAAGTGCAATGTGTCATAGGAGCACAGATGTTGGAGGAGAGGGTAGACAGTGTCAAGAAAAGCTTCTGAGAGGAAGCAATGTCAATGGTGAGATTGAAAGATGAGTAAAAGTCAGGCAAAAGAGGGATGACTATGGTTTAGGATAAAATATAACACTGACAATTTGGAGTTGAGATAAAACATGGTTATTCAAGGAAATGAAGGTACAATATGGCAAGAGAAATCCAGAGACCATGTGCTTTATATGTTTCAACATATCTTCCCTTAAGTACCTAGTACAGTGCTGTATGCAGTACAAAATTAAAATGTTTTACATGGGTGTAAATTTAGCATTATTATATGATTTGGTTGTAGAGTAGTGATTTTGTATAGATAATTTAAACAATTCTACCAAAATCACAGAAGGAAATCTGCCCAAAATTAATCAATGTGGAAATAGCAGACCAATCTCTGAATGATAACCTTTTTTATGCCTTATGATTATTTGCCTAGACTCTGAACACATCTATTACATTCATGCCAAAACAAAACTGAAGAGATGAAATACGGTTGATGCTTCCCAATTTTCTTATTTTTCTGCCATTATGTTGGTTGAATCTGAAACCGTACCTCTGACCAATCTTAGTCTATAAATCTGAGTCAAAGTTTTTCAGTACACATTGAAGCAGGAATGCATAGGTCTCTGGGCTCTACAAGTTTTTCATTAGTGATAAAATATAGATTAGGTAACAGTACAATGAAATGATTTCAAAAACCAAGTTCAGTGTGACAGACTTGAGTTTAACCACCAGTTATATAATCTTGTGCAAATTACTTCACATTTCTGAGCCTCATCCGTGAAAAGAGGATAATGGTACCCTTCTCAGTGATATACTGTAGTAAGATAATGTACTTAAAAGACCTAATGCAGGACCTGATACATAATTAGCATCTCCCAAAATATTCAATGTTATTTTTTTAAAG